CCTAGAGCCCGCCAGTCAGCTGGCCGACTTCCGGCCTTCGGGAGCGCCGGCCCGCAGGAAGCCGCCCTCCTCCCGCCGTGGGCCCGGGACTGCGAGCCCGGGTCGCTTGTGCTTCCGCCCGGGGAAGCTCACGCCCCACGGGTGTCCTACCACGGGGCACCAAGTGGAAGCCGCGCAAACGTGCCCGCTCCTCGGTTGACTGGTTCCCAGCTCCCACTCTGGTCTCCTCACAATCACCTGTCTGTCACTCGGGCTTCAGCGGGGTCCAGTGCTCTCCCCTGCCTTCTCTGAGCAAGCATGCTCAAAGACACAGTGGGCTCCCCAGGCTATGCTGAGTGAGCACTGTCAGCCGGTGTCGTGGCCCCTGAGGTGGAAGGCAAAGCGATGCGGGAAGCTCGGAGCTACTTACTTGTGGGGAGGGCGCTTCTGGAAGGAAGGCAGAGCGCTCTCGAAAGCAGGGTTGGTGACATTGCCCAGAGCGGTCACGCAAAGTCGTCCCATCCTCTTGTGGAGTATGGGGCAGCTCTGAAAACATCATCCTGTACCACCAGAGGACGGACAGACAGACACTGCAGGATGAGAGGGGCAGATGTGCAGCCTTCCGCGCCCTCGGTAAGAGCTGAGGTGCCGGTACACTGCATTCCTCAGGGGGACGGCTGCTTTAGGACCTCTGCAGTTGACAAGGTGTGATGGGAGAGGTTTCTCTGCACATGTGCTTCTCTTATTGGTTGATAAACTAAACACTGTTTGGCCAATAGAGGCCAGAAGATAGGCGGGCTAGGAGAGGAGGAGAAATCTGGGAAAGACAGGCAGAGGTGCGGCAAAGAGACGCCATGTAGACGCCAAAGGAGTAATAGGTCCAGGTATTCTCTGGTAAGCCAAGACCACATGAAAGTACTTAGATTACTAGAAATGGGATAATAATTAAGAGAGAGCTAGCCAATAAGAAGCCCTAGCCATCGGCCAACAGTTCAATAATTAATATAGTATCTGTGTGTTTAATTGGGGCTGAGAGGGGCAGCGGAACCTGGAGGGACAAGAAAACTACAGCAACAAAGGGAAAATTTCTATTGGTGGTGGCGTCCTTCATTCATTGCTTTCCTCGGGCTCCAAGTTCAAAAGGTTTAATGCTTGTTTTGCTTTTTGAAACAATCATACTATGTAGCCCTGGCTGACCTGGAACTCACTAAATTAGACAATAGATGAGCCTGGTCTCAAGCTCATAGAGATCCACCTGCCTTTGTTCTCCGAGTCCTGGGTTTACAGGTATGTACCTCCACATTGAGCTATGTTTAAGTTTCTATATTAGCATATGGAGTTTATTTTATTGACTTAAGTCTGGTAACACATACACACTGATATGTTGTGACATTTTTCTGGGAGATGTGTGTTCCTAGAATGTTGGTATGGAGCTACCAAGTCATTGAGACTAATCTGTATGTGTCAAAGTTGGATGTGGCTGTTGTTCCCTTGGGCGCCACTACAATTTTGTTGGAAATTCTGAAGAAATTCTGTCCTGAGTTAAGCAATGGGAAACACATCCATGGCTGTTCCCTTTGTCATCTCCAGGAGCCAAATGAGTTTCTCTTAGCCCTCCTCTCTAATTAAGAGATGGAATTTCTGCTAATAAGCTACCCCATGATAAATTGGCATAGACTTTCTTCCCAACCCAAAGCCATTTTTTTTTTTTTTTTTTTTGGTTTTTCAAGACAAGGTAACTCTGTATTACTTTGGAGCCTGCCCCAGAACTCATTTAGTAGACCAGGCTGGCCTCAAGCTCACAGAGATTTGCCTGCCTCTGCCACCCGAGTGCCACCAAACCCACTCTTCAGATGGAACCAAGTAAGCCTATTGTCTGCAGCTATTTTCATAGTTACGGAAATGGGAAGTGTACACCCAGACATGCAAAATCATCACCTGGGCATATGGAGTAACTTAAGTTAGGACCCGAATCTGAACAGTTGGTGTTCCATCTGAGGAATGATCCATACTAGCCCTGGCTTAGCTTTTAAATGTGCAAGTTTAGCAGGTAGCAGAAAAATACTAGAACAGCTGAGAAGTGGCTGAAGCCCACAATTGAAAGAGAGTACCCTAAGCAGAACATCTCCAGTTAGTAGCCGAGAAAATGCCTAGGTTTGTTCTCCCTTCTGTTCTCAAGGGCATAGTTGTTTTTGTTGTTGTTTTTGTTTGAGACAGGGTTTCTTGTGTAGCCCTGGCTATCCTGGAACTAGCTCTGTAGACCAGGTTGTCCTCTCTAGTGCCAGGTCCCAGCCACAAGTTTCCATGACTTGTGTGGTGTCATCCCAAGTGCTGGGATCAAAAATGTGAGCTCTGTTTCTTTTTTAGACTGACTCACTCTCATGTAACCCAGGCTGGCCTGGAACTCACAGAGATCCATCTGTCTCTGTCTCCCGAGTTCTGGAATAAAAGGTGTGGTCACCACTGCCTGTCCTCTGTAGCTAAGTAGTGGCTTAGGTGTGCAGCGAATTAGTGGCTTGCTCTCTGTGTGTGTGTGTGTGTGTGTGTGTGTGTGTGTGTGTGTGTGTGTGTGTGTGTGATTAGCTCGTGGCTTAGCTCTTAACTAGGTGTGTGGCTAACTAGGACTCAGCTTTGCATTCTGATCTTCAGGCAAGCTTTATTAGATTACAAACAAAATATCACCACACAAAAGTTCTGGGTATTAAAACTGTCCAGTCCATGCAAGATTAAATCTCCCTCTAGGCCTGAGCTCCTCTTCTCCACCAGGAGGCGCTCCTTCTCCGTCAATGGCAAAGCCTGAGCCAGCTGGCCTGTAGTAGAAGAGCTCGTCCTTATGTTACAATCCCAGACTTCCAGGGCTTTGGTTTACAGCCTTTTAAGTTTATCATGATGTGAAAGCAATACAAATTTGCCAAAACCTACCCCAGCACAGTGACAGCTCACACTTATTTGTGCTCTGGGAGCCGGGAGCACACTGCACAGCCGGCCTGCAGTTCAACAGGCTGGAAGTACCACTTCCAGTGACTCAGGCAGCTCAGCTGGTCTGTCTACACTAGGACTCTTCAGATTGTGGTGATGCAGCTGTCTATGAGTCATTCTGCTACTCTAAGTAGCCCTCACCCCATTCTTGTAAGTAATCCCAATAAAACTTGGACTTCGATGGTGTCCTACTTTGGTCTGTCATGGGCTCCCTGTCTGGGGTGAGTAGGCTTAGGTTGCATCTCCCCAGGAAAAGTCTTGTCACACTTGTCCCCCTGAAGAGACCTGAACCCCCTCTCTGTCATGATGACAACAGAACTTGGAGCATTGGAGTCCCTGGGCAGAAAGAGGCAGGAACACCACCAGGTTGAGGAATAAGTAGGATGATAAAAAAGATCTTTCTAGATATGGGGAATGCTTCCAGCAGGGCATGGGCTTGATAAAACACAGAGAACCAAGAAAGAAAGAAGCATCCTTTGGGTGGAAGCTCAGCCTAAAGCAGGAAGGGTGGGTAGTCATGGAAACTTGTGGCTGGGACCTGGAGCTCACATCAACCCATTGCAGAGCAGATGACTGTGGATCTGGAGGCCTGAACCACAGACCTAGCTGGAATAAGGGTTAGCAGGCTGGGACATATACCTGACCCTCTTAGCCTCTCACTGGGGCACTGACTAAGATTTTAATCTGGGACAGGCATTTCCTACGGGGGGGGGGGGGGGGGCGCCACTTTATCTGCTTTGCACCTAAAACTGTATTTATTTATTTATTTTATTTTATTTTTCGAGACAGGGTTTCTCTGTGGCTTTGGAGGCTGTCCTGGAACTAATTCTTGTAGACCAGGCTGGTCTTGAACTCACAGAGATCTGCCTGCCTCTGCCTCCCGAGTGCTGACGTTAAAAGCGTGTGGCACCAACCACCTGCCGTTGAACTCAGTTCTACCAGTAGTTTTCCTGACTTTGGAGTTCAGTCTAGAGTCAGGCTTAACCCGAGGTCTTTTACTCTTTAAAAACAAAAACAAAGGGAGCCCTTTGAAAAATTATTTTAAAATTTTACGTGTATGGGTGTTATACCTGCATACATGTTTGTATATTACTTGCCTGCCTGGTGCCTGGAGAGGCCAGAAGAGGGCATCAGGTCCCCTGGAACTGGAGCTAAGGATGGCTGTGAGCTCTCCTGTAGGTGCAGAGAATGTAACTACTATCCTCTGCTAGAGCAACCAGTGCTCTTAACCACTGAACCAACTCTCTAGTTCCCTCATTTAAATTACATAGCAACCATTTGAAAATAATTTCAGAATTCACCAAAACTGTATGTTTGGCCACAGAATACACAATGAAGTGCAACTCTCCTTTGAGAAACACACCCCATACTTTTAGTGTGCTTTACTCTTTCCCTGAACAGTCTATATTTTTTGAATTTTTAAAAGATTTTATTTATTTATTATGTATACAGTCTTCTGCCTGCACGCCAGCAGGGGGCACCAGATCTCATGCAAGATGGTTGTGAGCCACCATGTGATTGCCGAGAATTGAACTCAGGACCTCTGGAAGAACAATCAGTGCTCTTAACCGCTGAGCCACCTTTCCAGCCCCAAACAATCTCTTTATTAACTATTATACTTAAAACCTGTTTAAAGGCCCCTTTTAAACTGTGTGTGTGTGTGTGTGTGTTCATGCTCACACGTTTGTTATGGGCATTTGTACACCATGGCACCCTTGTGGAGGTCAGAGTACAGTTTGGGGGAGTCTGTTGTCTCCTGCCATCATCTAGGATCAAAATCAGGTCTTCAGGTTTGGTTCAAGTACCCTTACCTGCTCAGTCACCTTGCCAGTCCTAAAAAGGCCTTTAAAAAGTTAGATTTATTTATGTGTATGAGTGTTCTCCCCGAATGTATGTTCACCGTGCTCATCTCTGGTGCCCACAGAGGTCAGAAGGGGGCATCAGATCCCCTGGAACTGGAGTCATTGATGGTTTTCATGTGACACAGTAAACCTGACATTGTTTAATCTACTTAAGTCTCCTGTTACTTGGAGCAAAAAGTGCTTTCATTGATACATAATATCATAGTTCCAACCAGAGACTGAGTAGGCAAACTATTGGCATTACACAAAAGGTTTTCGTTCGCTAAAAGATTTGTTGGGTGCCTTTCTTATGCTGAGTATAGTGCAAGAAGCTAAATCAAAGAAAATGGGAAGTTCTTTCCGCACAGAGGTGATAAGCTGGTGGCAACTAGAGTAGAAGTGGAGGCAGGCGTATTGTTGAGGCGCCTTGACGACAAACCTGGACTAGGTCAGGGAAAGCCCTAATTAATACATGAAACCACATTTCAAAAATCCACGCAATATCAATATCATCCATTTAGTTTGTTTCTTTTAATTTTTTATTTTTTATTTTATTTTATTTTGTTTTTCGAGACAGGGTTTCTCTGTGTAGCTCTGGAGGCTATCCTGGCACTCGCTCTGAGGACCAGGCTGGCCTCGAACTCACAGAGATCCGCCTGCCTCTGCCTTCCGAGTGCTGGGATTAAAGGCGTGTGCCACCAATGCTCAGCTGTTTCTTTTAATTTGTAACATGATTATAGCTATGTAAGAATTACCTTATGGGGACCGTCCTAGGCACTACCCAGGTGTAACGGCTGTGTAGCTTGGTCTACTTGTGGGACTCCTAACAATGGGAGCAGGGCTGTCCCTGATTCTTTGGCTGGCTCATGGGAACCTATTCCTCCT